GACATACATTGAAAGTCTTCTATCCCACCACATTTTACAGATGGGGAAAATTGATGTTCAGCAATGCAATATGCAAAGTGACAGAAAAGTCATCTCAGTTTAGCTCACTAGTGTGTCTACTCACACATACTTTGGGCCCTAACAGCCTGCAACTCAAATCCAATGTAAATCCAGTTTCAATTATTTAACAAGTTGCGAGTTGGACTGCATTAATAAATCTGATCCTACAATAGCACATAGTGTGATGGTAAGGGGCAAAGCAATCCAATCCCTACCGTTCTCGGTTAAATTTGAGTGAATGAAGTATAGCAGGTCTCTTCTGACGTAAGTTCCACAGGTGTAAGGTATCATCAGCCAAGGCACTCACAAGAGCTCCCTGTGAGAAAGAAAAGGTTTTAGTCAGCTTATTTTCATACCTTTTATAACAGTGTATCATCATAGTGGAAATATATTACACATTTGCTACCAGGATGAAAAAAATACTTATAAGCATACACATCAACACCATAGCAGAGATAAGTTTTAAGTAGCAGTAATGAGATAACCCATGTGATCACATGTCATTCAGCTCACTCACATTTGGTTCAGTGCTATACTGAGGGGTGATGGGGAAGGAGAAGCTTTTTCCGGTGTGTGCTCATCAGTTCCCTCATGCCCACCTCTGTAGAGAAATTAAGCAATGAACTCAACTGCTAGTATCTATGTGATGACAAAGCTAGTGACGTTTGACTTCACCATTCCTCTGAGCTAGAAATCCCTCTATAAATCTGGCCCCAGATAGATCAAGACCAGCACTACTGTCAGATCTTAGCTGCTACACCCCTGGAAAAACACACCTGGAATTACTCAGGGATCAGATTAGGGATCCTTGCTCAGCTCATGTCTAAAACAGTAACTCCATCAAAATAAAATTAAGTACCTACTGAAACTGTTAGTTAGAAAAATCTATGTTAGAAAACATACATTACTACTTCAAGAGATAACTTGCAATGTTCAGTGACACGAATAAATATTCCTAGGAAAAGAGTTCTTGCTTATAGCAAGAGTACTCTAGAGACAGAAGATATTTTCAGCAGTTAGTCAAGCATTTTCTAAAATTAAAAGTTAATTTATTTATAGTTGTTATTACTGTTTGCCATTCATGCTAAGAGTCACTTGTGTTAGCTGATTTTGATGCTTGCTTAATGAGAAATTGAAGAAAATACACTTTCTCTTATCTGAATTACAGAATATGTACATCATTTTACTAACCTCATTAATCAGGAACTGAAGCTGGATTACTGCAGCTCCACTGTCATGTTGGCAGTAGCATTCAACTCCTGGCCGACCAAAGCTGGAATTGGTACCATTAAGGAAAAATTGTTGTATGTAACAAGGGGAAAAAAAAGCCAAACACCATAACCAACATTGTCACTATCACTAATAGCACATTCAAACAGGTTAACATCCTGCTTCTAGCTAGTGCAGTCAACACATTTAACCACATAGATCTGAGCGATCACCAAAAAAAAATTTATAAACACCACAAAGTAACACAAAGAAGTTAAAAGGCCCATCTTATTTATCCCCATGGAATATGAAAATTATGTATAATTGCTTAACTTGTAGTTAGTTAAGGGATTCTTCATCAATAAGAACATAATGGAGAACGATGAAGCAGTTATTTTAGTAGTGTTACGTATCAGGACTAGTATAAAAGGAAGTTAATCTAAATAAGCATCATCATCAAATGACCACATTTTTCAAGTGCTAAAGGAGCTCTCTCTCCTTTTTAAACACTACTTACAGATGAAAGAAGAGCTGAATAATGCAAGGCATGTTAAAAAAAAAAAATCTGCTGTGACAGAGATAAAAAGATCAGTAGCCAAAATATGGAGGAGTCAATGGGAAATTATGTATAATGTAAATTTCCAGGATCTCTGTTATCAAGACTTCTTGGATTCACACCAACTATGAGATAACAAAAGCTTGTTCATTTTCCCTCCCACACATAAGTCAGTCCTATACTTCCACAATTAATATCAAAAAGAAGCAGCAGCAACACAGATTCTTTCAATTCTTCATACCTGATTCACTTATTAGTTGCAAAGATTCTGTATTTCAAATGCAGTTATCCCCTTTCTTCTAATATGAAATGAAGGAAATTCTCCAACCTCTAGGAGACAGATCAGAAATAACACAAGTCCAGATGAATTATGCAAAGCGGTCAGTATTTCATCATTATAGTATGCCCAGGGTTTCTAGAGTATAATTTGTCAAAGAGCTGAACACCTCTTCTTTTAAACAGGCACCTTAGTTTTTGGAAGAAAGGAAATCATTCCAAAGATGTATGCAAAACAGGGAATATAATGTACAATTTGTTCTCTCAGTATACACTAGAAATTACTACAACAGTACAATTCTCACCCATTCTGCAAGTTTTCAATTTACTGAGAAACTGTTGATCAAATCCAAAGTGGATACAAATACTCTTAAAAATATACGCATTCACACTAGAGACAGTTGAAAGGCTGAAGAGACTACTAGGTTGCACACAAATCAAAACTCAAACATATTTCCTGCTCAACCTCTAAGCTGGCGAGATAAAATGTAAGTAGAACTACAATGGGAACAAGTCTGCTTCAACACACCACAATATTTTAACTTTTAAACTTCAACCACGTTCTTCTCCTAGACTAACAAATCTGTAAAACATCCAGCTAAGTGATGAGATATATACTAAACAGATGTTGCATAATCCAGCAAACTTAATACCCGCTTTCTTCCCTGAACAGAATTAGTAATTTAATTTTGTTCTGGCATGGAAGGGCTTAAAGAGCCAGCTTTCCTCACCTGTTTTTTTTCCCTTGTATTTTAAATTCTTATCAATATGTTTCCTGTAGAAAGAAGTCATCTGTACTCCACTGACAGTTTATAGTTCTTAAAAAAAAAAAAACAAAAACGGAGCTTAAAACTTGAGGGGGGGGGGAGGCTGTCCCCATAGATGATACCTTCCTACACAAACTCAGAATACTTTTAATGTAAAATCATTGCTTTTGCATTAACTATGGATTGACTACACAGACTGTCAGATTGGAAAAAGTATCCCCACAACAAATACCAGAAGCTTCAGAGTGGACTTGCTTCAGTCGTGTGCATGCTTCTGCATTCACTTGAATTAATAATTATTCACAGAAGTAGAGAAAAAGCAGTATCTGAAAGTGAAATTCAGATATTTACAGGAACTGAATTTTAAAACTTGTTATTTATCTGCACTGACACAAGCAGTTTTCTAACAAAAGATTTCCCCAGCCGCCCCCCCCAAACATCAGCTTCCAACATAATTAAATGTAACCCTTGTTCGTTCACCCATCCACAGTTTATTTAGAATTGAGGCTTTAGCGCTACCTTGCCTCAAAACAAGAGTATGACCCAGAAAAAGAGAAGCCCATGGATTCCTCAAGTTACTCCAACCTTCAAATTCTATCCCGCAAATATTTTCTTTAAGCATACCTGATACAGATATCTCTGGAAGCACTGTTATAAGTAGTCAGTAAAAATTTCAATGTTAAGAATACTTGAATGTTTCTTTAAACAAAAAAAAAAAACTTTTGCATTTTCCAGGACACCTGCACCTGTTCTCTCTCCAGAAATCAGTAAATATGCAGCACTGGCAATAAGTTTACACAAGCTTTAAACATTCAGAGAAGTTTCTTGTTTTTGACAAATTAGTGGAAGCCTCATATGCAGATCTGAAAAATAGAGTTTGACCTCTTTTATAGTGCTTACTGTTATTAAAAAAAAAAAAAATCCTTGCAGCTAGTCCCATTTAGTTCCTTTACGCAAGGATTATGTCATCTTCACTTTTTCACCTAGTAGCTAAAATTATTCTTCTCATCTCAAATTAATATCATCCTGCTAACCAGCATTAATCTTCTTTTCAAAAGCAATGCAAAGCCTCCCAGTTTTGCGGGATATGCCGAGTTGAAAAAGCACGTCACCTAATACTGACTGTAGAAGGATAATAATACATGCCTGTTTCAGTGTATGTTAAGCATTTCTCAACCACACAAAACAGGCAGCATCCCAGGAAATGCAATTTGTCCAAATGCTCTATACTTGCGTTTGTGTGCTTAAGGCAAGAGAGCTCACTGTACCACATAGTAGTCCCCAAAACAGGCAAAAAATTATAATGAATAACGACAAGATGGGCAAAGCATTTTAATTTTGTAGACAGGAAAAACTCTCTGCCAAAGACCTAGGGTAGCTCTAGAGGAAATAGTCTGCTCTTGAGCAGTTTTCTAATCAGACACCCATCCTTCCTCCTTCGCTTCCAAGCATTTCTTTCTACTATTCCTGCTTCATCCCCTATCCCAAATATTAACAAATTGGATAAATTAATAGCTTCTCAGCTAGCTGTACCTTTGAATATTGCTTCTGTGTTCCCCACTGCCATTAGGAAATTAACCCTGGAAAACACTAGTATTTCATTGTCTTCACTGCATGTTTTTTGAAAAAGCCAGTAAGAGACAAAAAGCTGTGGCTGAGAAAAGGAAGAGATAACATACATACTCATGTCCTAACATCAGTGTTCATTTCCATAACTGCTAGAAGTGCAGGTCACACATAAGAAAAGCACAATATCACGCCAATTTAATATCACATAATGGCACTGATTTTACTTAGATTTGTGAGAAAAGGCAACAGTTCCAAGATATTTTTTTTCCCAGACAAGCTTCAGACCTAAGCTTACACTTTTTTCCAGGCAAAATTACAGCATTTCAATTAGTGATGTGCAAGTTCTCTGCAAAATATTCTTTTTAAAAATTACTTTTATAGCTTATCTATGTAAGAGCAACTCAGTGCACATCTGCCCTTAGAATTTGCATTTTGAAAGAGAAAATTAACTCCAGAATATTTATGAAAGCCTCAGAAAAGCAGTCTTTTTTTTTTTTTAAATCTTTAAGTAGACCTAGGGTATATTGGGTTCTTCACCTGTGTTTGACCTATCTCACATAGGAGACAGTTGCAAAAACCATAGCTATCAATTCAATCCCTAGCATAAGTCAGTTATGTATACAGAGACACATTTATAATACACATTACCTTCCAAACTATCACCACACAGATATTTGGATCTTCATGTCATTACACTGCTAGAAGTTTTGGTGGTACAGCACAAGACATGGACTATGTTCCTGTACCAGATCTGCCACTGTTACAATAGCTCTAGATTTAAGACAAATCTGAAACTGCACCAGCTTTTAAAAGTCATTCCTTGACGTCTCAAAACTGTAGCTGTAACAATTTTGATGCAAAAAACAGATCTCCGACTAGAGAAAAACATGTACCACTGATCTGAATTACATACAAAACACTAAGGGCAGTAGATGATTCAGTTTTCTTAGTATACCAGTCTGTAGCATATAGCTCTACAGGACTGCATATTATACCTGCATGTTTTACTATAGTCATTGCTATGTAACAGCTTTCCACTTTACTTAATCAGATCCTGAATTATTTTCATAAGCAGCAAAGCCACTACTTATTTTGCACACACTCTTGTATGTGCTTTGATTGTGGTCCCTAAGAATTATCATAACCTAGAAAAACCACACAATGATGGTGAGATTTCCAAATAATATTTTAAGTATATGAAGATTAAAAGTCTGTCGGGTATTACTCATCATTGCCAAGTCTGGATACAATCCAACAACAATCAACTTAGAGTACCGTCAAGTCCTGGTGATACATCTAAACAGGACTAAAGCAGTACAAGAGCAGCTTCACACAACTTTCCTAACTGTTTGTCAATCTTACCTGTGCCTACACCCAATCAATACTGTTACTTGCACATACAAAAGCATGATCTCTCACAGAAACAATCTCATAAAGAATGAACTATCAAGACACACAGCTACGTAGCAAGAGAGTTATCCAAAAAGTCAGAAAGTACTACAGTCAACACTGTCTACAAAACTAACTTTGACCTTTCATGTCCATGTATTACTAAACAAAATAAAAATCCACAAAATATTTTTGAGTGTTTTAGACTTCATATCAATCCTGATACGGTATCGGATCACTGTTTTTCAACAACTTTAGGATTATAGTTTCCTTTTAAAGCTTTAGGCCTGCATAGCATCTTGCTGTGTTTATATCACTCAGCTAAGCAGGTCTTTATTCCTCTCCACATCTCAGTATTTATGTCTGCAAAAGCAAAGATATTTTTTAACATTTCAGATCGACTTTCCTATACATAAACAACAGCACCAAGCAAAAACAAGCTAGGGCTTTAAAACTGAGATTAAAGTTCATCAGGTGGAAATACTATCAAATTACTGGTAACAATTT